GGCCCTGTGTTATGGGCTTAGAGCTGCTGCTGCTGCTCCTGGCATGTGGCCTGGCTTACTTTCCTCAACCAAGGTAGGCCATGGATATATTGCCTGGGGTCCTGGCCAATGGGAAGAAGTTTCTGCTCTGCTGTCTTTTCAGAGGCCAGCTTGGAAAGGGTGGGGTGCTGTCAGTCTGCTTACGACTCATGACAACGACAGGCATTGAGCTGGGCATCCACAGTGCCCGCTTTTGCTGCATCTTCCTGTGTGGTGTGCACCTGTGTGTGATCTGGCTCTCTAAGTCTTACTCCTTCTCTTCTGTTCTCCCACTTTGCACATAGAGACTTAGCAAGACCCCAGATTCAATGATGTAAAGATTCATCACCTATTTGACTTTTTTCTCTCGTAGCCTTGCAACTGTAAGTGATGCAGAATACAGTTTGATATACATAGGAAGTCCTTTAGTTTCCATCTTAGCCTGGAATTAGGAATTTAGAGGTTGAGCGTGTTGTTCTGTTTCCAGCCCTTTTAGGATCTCCAGGTCTCTCACTCTTATTATGAACTATTTGACATCCTTCTGATAAATACCTTGGCTAACCAGAGTTAATTTCTTATGCTTGCAGTCAAGGACCCCGATAAAGACATAAGTATTAGAGATGGAGGTAAAAAACAAAATCTTGGGAACCTGTGGGATAATAAATGGTCTAAATGGGTTGGAGGTAACTCAGGTCCCATTAATTTTCAATGTCCAAAATGGCAAAGTGCAAAGGCAGTGACATCCCAGGTCCTCAGTGGGAACTTCCTTCTAGTGAACACAGGCAGTAGTGTCATTGTGAAAATGCACAGGACTTAGTTCTTAGACATGTTAATTCTTGTTTGCAAACACGAGAAACCACTCTGGTTGGAAAAGAAATTCACTGAAAGGCTATTGAAGACTTCACAAAAACAGTAAGGGGCCTGCATATATAAAAATGAGTAGGAGTCCACCAGGGTGATGTCTACTGTCAGGGTCAACGTGGCCACAGCGCCAGTGCTGTCCCCCACTCCTGGCACGCCACTGCCACTGCCCGTCTCCACTTCTGTCCCCGGGAACCTCTCCAAGGCCACCGTCTGGTTCTCGACGCCGCTTTGATCACCAGGCCTCCATACTTCTTCAGACTCCCGTCCACATGGCTCAGAGTTTAGCCGGTACCGTTCACTTCAGTGACATTCCCGGTGTCCTGTGTTGAGGCACAGTCTGAGGTGTGGATTGAATTTTTTGAATGTTGGGCAAATCTTGAATCACTTGGCTCCTGGTTTCTGTGACATGCAGGGCGTCTGTGAAGGGAGGCCAGGCGTTGTGCATGGGACTCTCCCCTCCCGCGGTGGGAGCTGTAGTCCTCGGACTGCTACTTGCTTTCTCCCTACTGTGCGCACCTTCTGCTGCTTTATGACGCTCTCTGGGACCTCCCGAGCCCTATTTAACATCCTAGCTGAGTGTGAAGACCCTGTCTCTGATCTCACGAGAGCATTCAGTCTTTTACCACACATGTGATATCAGCTCTCGGAGTTTCCGAGAGGTGGTTTATCAGTTGAGTATTTTCCTGTCCTGTCCTTTATTTGACGGCTGAGTTTTTTTCCCCCTTCTCATCTCATGAATGGATGCTGATTTTAAATGTCTATCTGGATCTATTGAGATGATTGTATATACGTTTTCACGGTTTGTTGGTACGGTGAATCATATTGATTGAATTTTTTGAATGTTGGGCAAATCTTGAATCACTTGGCTCAGAAGTTTTGTCCTTTTTATAGTTTGCTGAGGTCTGTTTGCCAGCGTTTATTAAGAATGCTAATTCTGTGCTCATGAACACCATCCCAAGCCTGCGCTGATCTCGTTGTCGCGGGGAGGCCAGGGTTGTGGAGCTGGTGGGAAGCCGCGGGTCCTCCCGGAGCCGGGGAGAGTGATAGCGTCGATTCTTCTTCAGATGCCTTTCAAATGAAGGTTTTGCTCACCTTGGGAGCCCGGGTTTTCTTTTCTTTCTTTCTTTTTTTTTTTTTTAAAGATTTATTTATTTGTGCATACAGAACCGGGGTACAGGCCAGAGGCTCAGGGGCGGTGAGAGGCTTCACCAGAGACAGAGTGGGGAGCAGAACAGGCAGATCAACAAAGTCCACTGCTGAGGGGAGCAGCGGGCGGGTCAGGAGAGGTCTGCCGCGCCATGTGGTCACCTCCGGGGCAGGCGGGAATCGAACTCATGCAGAAGCGGCTTTAGATTCTCAGTGCTGTGCTTTAACCCACTGCACCACCAGGGAGGGCCTTCTTTTTTTTTTTTTTTTAAAGATTTATTTATTTATTCATACAGAACTGGGGTACAGGCCAGAGATGTGGAAGGTGAGAGGATTGCCCAGGGACAGAGCAGGGAGCAGAACAGGCAGATAGACGAAGTACATTGCTGAGGGGAGCAGTGGGCGGGTCAGGAGAGGTCTGCCGCGCCATGTGGATCTCCTCCAGGGCAGGCGGGGATCGAACTCATGGGGAAGTGGCTTAAGCTTCTCAGTGCTGTGCTTTAACCCGCTGCGCCACCAGGGAGGGCCCACCCGGGTTTTCTTTATGAAGGATTTTACACGGTGAGTCCAATGTCTGTAGTAGATACAGGAATGTTCATTGTGTTCTGCTGGAATAACCTCAGGTCGCTTGTGTCTTTAAGATTTATTTACTTATGTGTACAGAACTAGGGTACAGGCCAGAGGTGTAGGGGCAGTGAGAGGGTTCATCAGAGACAGAGTGGGGAGCAGAACAGGCAGATCATTGACATACACTGCTGAGAAGAGCAGCGGGTGAGACAGGAGAGGTCTGCCGCGCCATGTCGGTCAGCTCTGGGGCGGGGATCGAACTGGCACTGACGTGGCTGTGGCCGTGTTTCAGCCTTCTGTGCCACTAGGGAGGGCCCCGGTGTGTCTTCTTAGGAGTTGATCCACTTTAACCAAATGTTGAATTTACTGGCCTAAAGTCAGTCCTGACTCTCACGTTACCGTTTTACTGCTGGTAGGATCTGTAAGGAAGTCACCTCTCGGCCCTGGTGTTCCTGATTTCTGCCTTGTGCTTGATTAGTTTGACTAGAAACAGTTTTATCTCTTGCAAAGAATTAGCTTTTGGTTTCACTGATTTACTTTATTGTTTCTTCATTTTCTACCCCCTGGACTGATTCTTGATTCTTTATTATCTCATTCCTTCAGCTTACCTGGAATCTAATGTGCTGCTGCATTTTTTTTTTTTTTTTGGCTTGGCTTTTTGTTTTTTAATATTGAAAGATCTCATTGGTATGACACACTTCTTCTTTTCTAATAGGAGCATGTAATGCTGTGAATTTCCTTCCCAGCACTGCTTTGGCTGCTTCTCACAAGTATTAATATGAGTGTTTCACTCAGTTCGCATTTCCTCCTTTTCTTTCTTCACTAGCTCACAGGTTAGTTAGTTTCCAAATATTTGGGGATCTTCCAGGTAGTTTTTTGTTATGAATTCCTCATAATTTTGATAGGATATCAGCACCTGAGATTAAGGAGAAGTCCCTGCCCCCAGCCCACATTACTGCGCAGAGCCCCAGGGAATCTGAAGTCCCCAGGCGCCTGTAGGAGCCTCGGGACTCCATGGGAGGGCAGGTGTTTGTGCACTGTGGTCCGGTCCCGGAGCTGGTGTGGGAGTGCCAGCCTTCCTGTCCATGGCTGTGTCCTGGGAACGAGGCTGAAGGGGTCAACCGGTGCGCAGTGTGCCCACAGGCAGCCACATCCCTAGTCGCCCACCACTGTGCACGAGCCTGCCTGACCCCAGGCCCTACCTGACCCAGGACACGATCTTCCATTCTGTGGCCCCAGGGGAGACCCTGAAACGCCTTGCAGGAAGAACTGAGCACAGATTCTTGGCTCGCACTGATGGAGCAGGCCTGTACTGCAAAGGAGGTGTCCACTTTGGTCTCCCCAACACCCTGCAGAGAGGCAGCTTCTGCAGCCCTAGTACAGATCCGCTTGGCTGTCTGTATTCAGCACAGTGCGTCAGCTGTGTGGTCTGCCTAGGGTAGACAATTCTAACCACAGCGAGGAGCCATCGATGTTGATTTATTGTAGATGGCGCACAGACAGAGAGTGAAATGTGGCCTCTAAAATGTGGAACCCTGCTCAAGATGTCAGGATGGGGACTTCCCTGGTGTCCCAGGGGTTAAGTTTCAGCACTGTCACCACTACTGTCTGAGTTTGATCCCCAGCCAGAGAGTGACCCACAGGGCACAGCAGACCTCTCCTGTCTCCCTGCTGCTCCCCTAAGTAGTGTATCTCAGTCCATCCGCCTGTTCTGCTCCCTACCCTGTCTCTGCGGAATCCTCTCACCCCGCTGCACGTCTGGCCTGTACCCTAGGTCTTATATGCAATAAACAAATAAATTTTCAAAAAAGGGTCAGCATCACCTCACTACCTACTCTCTTACTTTCAGGGGCTGGTGTTAGGCCCATGGCAGTGACATTATTTGCTGGGGCCGCTGGATTGCAGATCACTTAGACTCCATCCTTGGTGCATTTCTGAATGGTCTAACTCCCCTATACTCAGTGTGTATTATTTTTGTGTTCAGATAAAGTATTTTAAAATATTAAAAAAATATTAAAAGCTAGTAGAATTAAGAAATAAATATCACTCAAATCCCTGAGTAAGCCTTGAGCATCGGCTTTCTGAAATGCAGGAGTTAGCCACAAACCAGGTTGACTCTCATTGTCTCCAAGAATTTGTGAAAGGTTTTTACAAACATCAGTCTCAATTTGTCATAAAAAGAGCGACCGAGGGGTCCTAAGAAAAGGCCCCGACTCCCAGCGGAACGGTAGATTCACGCGTAGGCTGCCATCTCGGATTTGGAGCAGCTGACGCATGGGTGTCTCTCCTGCTGAGCTCTGTTCTCTGGTGCTGGTGTTCCTGCAGGGAAGGGGGCGGGGCGGGGGTCTGGAAGACTTTCCTAACACCCTCCCTTAAGTTCCATTTATTCCTCAACCTGTCCACAGGCAGCTGGCCAAGAGCCTCGGGCAGGCTGGTGACATCGAGCCCGAGACGGAAGGCATCCTGACGGAGTACGGCGTGGACTTCGCCGACTTCTCTGCTGAAGTCCTAGGCTGTCTCCCCAAAGTCCTGCCCTGGACGATCCCGCCAGCGGAACTCAACAAGAGAAGAGATTTAAGGTAAAGAGCCTATGAATCCACCTTTCTGCCTTCTGCCTTCACTTGTTAGGAGTTGGGCTCCGACGTTGCCATCTTTCCACACATGCTGAAGTTCAGTTCGACTGGGAATTGAAAGCTCTGTACCAGAGGGCCCCAAATTATGACCCCCTGGCTACAGCCAGCCCACTGCCTGTTTATTTTTTGAATGCTTGGGAAAAAATCAAAACCAGAATTATCTTTTATAAGAATTATATGAAATTCAGATTTCAGCATTTATAATTTCAGCAAGCTTACTTAGATATATTGCCTCTATGGCTGATTTTGTTTATGCTACACAGTGTAGTTGAGTGGTTGCAAGAGACCATATGGGCCTCCCAAGCCTGAGGTATTTACTCCCTGGCCTTTTATAGAGAGGTTTGCTCAGCCCTGTTCTCGACCACTGTAAGTATAAATGATTCCGTTACCACTTTTCTTTTCTCATTGCTAAGCCCCGTAGGTCTGGTGGAATAAAGACTTATCTGGTTAGAAGTGCCTTCCTTTAAATGGGCCTCTTCAGGCACAGAGCAAAGGATTCAAGACTTCTGCTCTTGGAGCTTCATTTTAAAGCTTTACTTTTAGGTCTGGAATTTGTTGGAAAGTACTTTTGTGGTATTTTTATAACAACATCTTCTTTGAAGATGTTTCTTCATTGTGGGATGTTAGTTCTTTTCTGATATTTCTCTTCAGAATTTGGTTTCAGTACTGGCATTCATTTTGGATGCCACATGGAGATATTTAGAACCAAGAAACTTTTCATACAACCCACGGAGGCTGTGGAAGGTTTTTTGCTAAGGTCATCCCGTGTCAGTCTTTTCCACCACACTCGCTCGCTGCGTGCGGCTGAACTTATGACACCTCCAGCTCTGCTGCCTGTCACCCTACCTAGCCGACAGTCCCCCGTCTCTGCTCCCCCTGTGACTGTGTCTCTGAGGAGCTGTCTGTCTCTTTCCCTTCCTTTGCCAGAGGTAGGCGAGCAGAACGCCGTGCCGGTCCCCTTTGCCTCCTATTAGCAGCGCTGAGGGAACACGCACTTGCCTTACGTCAGTCACCCATGTTGCTGTCCTGGCTTCCAGCAGTTACCATCCTCAGCACAGCTCCTGCTACTGAGTGGTCTTGTCAGAGGCTTTGCGGTCTTGGGCCCAGAACTTTTGTCTCTGAACCTGTTTTCTCATACACAAATTGAAAGACTTGCTTTCTAAGATCTTTTCCTAAATCCAGGAATGTACAAAAATCTCATGAGGAAGGAAGGACAGAATGAGTGGCTGAACCACAGTTTCCAGCCAACCTGCAGTACTTAGCACATTTTAAAGGTGCCTTCTCTGTCACTCAGCTTACAGAAATTCGTCGTCCTTGAAAGTGTGCCAGGATATAGGTAAAAGAATGTTCTCTGGCCCTTCATTGTCAAGGTGACGTTGCTGATGTCCCTTAATGAAGGAACGACTGAGTAACGTCAGCAATGCCTGGCAGTGTGAGTGCAGTCTCTATAACTGCAAAAGGGGACCCAAACAAGAGGCTTGTCCCAGAAGGATGGGCATCACATTGTGACATGCCAGAAGCAAGGTCAGAGCAATTGACGGTGGATCTGTTTTTAAAAAATAATATAATAGTTTATTTTTACAGTACTTTGTGCCTTTTTCCATTTCAGTTGTAATCCCCGTGGGCTTCCCATCACCAAATCACCCCTGTGCCATCACCACAGTCCAGTGCACTTACCTTCCTCCACTGTTTTTGATCCCATTCCCCACTCCACCACTGTAAAATGTCTCTGGTATATAGTTGTTCATTATTCTTATTTTCTCCCTTGGTCCTTTATGCTCCTGGTATGAGTGAAACCATCTGGTATTTTTCCTTTTCTTTCTGGCTTATTCCACTAAGCATGATCCCTTTCAGTTCCATCCATGTTGCTGCAAAAGGCATGAGTTTCTTTTTTGATTGCTGAGTAATATTCCATCTTTTTAATTCAGTCATCTACTTTTGGGCATTTGGGTTGATTCCATTTGTAAATAAAGCAGCAACAAACATGGGGGTGCAGGTATCTTTTTCAATCAGTGTTTCTGTGTCTTTTGGGTAGATACCTAGGAGTGGGATTGCTGGGTCCTATGGAAGCTCCATGTTTAGCAGTGTGAGGAACCTCCAAACAGTTTTCCATAGTGGTTGTACCAGTTTGCACTCCCACCAGCAGTGCAGGAGAGTTCCTTTTTCTCCACATCCTCTCCAACATGTGTTGTTGCTAGTTGTTTGAAGATGTGCCATTCTCACTGGGGTGAGGTGGTATCTCATTGTGGTTTTAATTTGCATCTCCCTTATTACGAGTGATGTTGAACATTTTTTCATATGCTTGTTGGCCACCTGCATTTCCTCCTTGGAGAAGTGTCTTTTTAGCTCTTCTGCCCATTTTTTGATGGGGTTGTTCACTTCATTTTCATTGAGTTTCATCAGTTCTTTGTATATCTTTGTGATCAATCCTTTGTCACTAGTTTTGTGTGAGAAATTTTTTTCCCAGTCAGTGGGATGTCTGCTTGTCTTTTGTAACATCTCTTTTGCTGTACAGACACTCTTTAACTTGATGGAGTCCAAATGTGGACCTATTTTTTACAAAGTAAAATAATACAAAAATTCTATAAATGCATACACACATGTATGTATAGAGAAAGATCTAGAAGGAAATATACCAAACTGTTGACAGTGATTGCCATGTGTGGTCTCAGTGGAATAGCAGGAGGTAGGGAGGCAAGTGTTTTATTTTCCATGTCATAAATTGCTGTATTAGTAAAATTATTTTTGAAAATAACTTTACCATATTTAAAATGTGTAAGTGGGAACATCGCAAAGAGAGGTGCTCAGTCTGTCCTGCACTGAATCCTCACCCAGCAGTGAGCAGTAGGGTGGCCCCTGGGGTCCCGCTTGAGGCTCCACCGTGCCTCTCTTGGACCATGGCACAGAGACCTTGATCTGCAGGAGGCATCTGTTAAGACACCTTGTGTCCTGGAAGGATCCAGAGACACAGAAGCTAAGGTGTGCTCTCTACAGTTAGCGCTCTGAACCCACATGACCCTCCAAATCCTCTCCCTGATTGCTAGCTCTAGAATTGTTTCTAAAATTCGAGTCAGACTTATTTATTCCTTTGGCTTAAGACCTCTGAGCTACTTCCTGGTGCTTAAAGTAGCAACATCCAAACTGCATTGAGCGTGCATTCCCAATGACCTATGTGCCTTTATTTTAAAATTACAAGTATCTTGACTACTTTACTGATGTAGTATTACATCGTAAACAGACATAAAAGTTGAAAGATGAGATGAAATCCCATTTAAAATGTTTTTTATTGAATTTAGAAAGATAACATATATTGTAATTTACTTTTGGTGAAAATGACTGAACATAATTATTTTTATAAATTTTACTGTTTTAAACAACTGTGATATGCACACTCAAAGGTTTGATTGTTAGTCCTGTATATTTTGATACTGACTTGGTTTTAATGGTAGTAGCTGGACGAGACATCTCAGATCTTGGGAAGAACTGAGCTGAGCTTTTATTGAATCACAGCACGCACCTTTCGTGCTCTTTGCTGGTTCTGTTCAGGTTCACTTTGAATCCAGCTAGTAAATTTCCATCTGTCACGATGCCAGCTAGTTCCTGTGGGTTAATTGAATGTGATGTATTTGTAGATTTTTGATTCTTGAGTGTTCTTCATTTGGCATCTCTTAATAACTGGTTAAAGTGCCTCCTGGAAAATGTAAGATACAGATAGGACATTCTTGCCACGAATGTACTTTAGATCATTCTAGATCTCCAGGTTGTATAACAATGGAAACACTTCGGAACATCCATTTTTGAAAATTTTAACTTCGGAACTTGTGTTATTTTGTTTTCAAATAGCAATAAATAACTTTTTCTCGTTGTTAAAATGTCACCTTTACCTTAAAGGTAGCTAAGTCTATTTTTCCTAAGTGTCTTCTAGGTTGCCTGTTAAGTGACAGCTGTTGTTTGGAAATTACGGTGTGGGCTGATGATGAATTCATACTAGGAGCAGAGGAAATGTCAGCTCTGCCCTGTCCCAGGTGTTTATAGTCTTGGTATTATTTAGTTTAATATTATCTTCAATTTGTTGATCGTTGCAATGATCTCTTTTAGCCACTCGCCTATTTTGTAAGAATTAGTTTAACTCAAACTACAAATCCTAACAATAAATACCCACTGCCTGCAGCTGGCTGGAAGGGTAAGCAGCTCGTGCCACCTGGGTGTAACAGCATGGCCACCCTTCCACACGCCCCCCGTGAGGGGCCTGGTCTGCTCGGTCACAGTTCACTTCTTCCTTTATGTTTGCATAAACAGAGTCCGTGGTGTGCTGAAGTGTTTGGGTCTGATTACCTTTTCTTTCTCTTTGATGGCTCTTGTGATTGATTTATTCGGCTTTGCAACCAGCAAGTATTTATTGAACACCATCCACGGGCAATGGGAGTTGAACAGCAGCACCCCGGATCGGGCCTCGATTCTTGCGGGCGGGTGGCGGGAGTCGGGCGTGCTCAGCAGCCGCCCGGGGTGGGGCTCTGGTGCATCTGGACCCTGTGATTTCTTCTGCTCGAGCCCAGTGCCTTCAAAGAGCTCTTATCAGTGTTAGTTTTGTTAGGACTGTCAAAAGAACTAGGAAGGAGCCCCGCGCAGACAGCAAATGAATGCATGCTCTCTAAATTCCTGCAGAGGACCTCTTGAGTCTTTTTTCCCTCCCCCCTCCCACCCTACTTACTCATCTACAGATATTGTGCGTGTGTCTGTTACACGGGGTGTGCATTAAGCGTCACGAACCAAGTAGCTAGTGGAAATACAAAGGCAAGTACGGCCCAGCCCCTGTTCTTCAGGAGTTTATTGCTCCTCAAGGAGACGGTTTTGCCCTCAGAGAAACTGCAGCCGAGAGCTGCAAGTGCTGCAGCACCCGTGTGAACCAGCTGCCAAGGCCGTTGCTGCTTGAACTGAGGTCTGAG